TCTCTCCCTCCCTCCCTCTCTCTCTCTCTCTCTGTCTATCTTTTTCTGTTTCTCTGCCTGACTCTCCATTCCTTACTCACGTGACCCAGGGATGAAAGAGGACTGCTTTCCTGATACATTGCACCCTCTCTGCCTAGGATCTGCAAGTAACCCTGTTCTAAAAGAAGGTGAGGTGGCAGAAGGGCATAGCACAAGAGAGCGCACAATGGACTTCCCAGAGAGACAAAAAGAAGATCAGGGAGATTTAGAACTTCTCAATTCTTTGTTCTGCCACTGTACACATGTCAGGTGATGCTCACATGCCACGTAACTTAGAATTCTGCATCATTCCCTCTCATTTCAGTGCAAGAGAGGGAAGGTATTACTGAAATAACCTTCAATTTGGCCCAATTGATTTGTTTTAAGGAAATCATTTGCAAATTTCATTACCCAAATAGAAAGAACATTGTAATCACAACTGATCAAAGCATGAAGCCAGGCAATACTGAAATGCAGATTCATTGCCTCAGGCACTGGTCAAAGGGAGATAAAGCAAGAGTACCTTTCTTCTTCTAGCAGATCAGTGAACTTTCAATCCAGGCATTAATGCATAGAAAAGCAACTCCTCCCCTCAGGAAAACCAGGAGTCACTAATTCGCCAGGAGTTCCTTTATTGTCCTCCAGGCCAGAAAACTTTCCCCAGGGAAGCAGTCCAATCTGCCATCACTATTTTTTTCTTTTCATAGAATCAGGGGGTCCACATGCAGGTTTGTTACAGAAATCTATTGTGTAATGGTGAGGTTTGAGATTCTAGTGTACCGGGTTTAGAGAAGCTAGAGTTTTTAAAATTGTAAAAGTAAAAAGAAGTCGAAGATATGTTTAAAATCTAACGTATGTTGAAAGCTATGATGGCAAAATACATTCTACCCAGGCTGAAAGGGAAAATAAAATTCTCTTTTCAGATAATGTCTTTTTTGTTGCTTCATGCTCATTTCTACCTGGGTCTTCAGGGCTCACCTTTGTCTCATTAGCGCTGCCTCCACTACAACAGTTCAGCAATTGAAGGCAGTTATTTGGAAGCACAGTACAAGCACCAAACACAGTAGCCAAGTTGAACTTCACTAATTGGAGAATATGCCCTCTAGTTGGTTTTCAATTGAGGAAATGGGATTTCATTACAAAGACAATGCCTGTGAAAGTGCTTGGGCAGGAAACAGCCCTCCCAGTATAGTACCTGTAGATTCAAACTATGTGGCTGAGAAGGGACTTAGGACTTTGCAATATACAAGGATTAAAAAGATCTTTACAGAGCATTTTGTCTGCACAGTATATTTCTGGAAGTATGCAATGGAAATAGTAGCAGTGGTGGCCTTTGGAGAGGATGAACCAGGTATCAAAGGGACAGAGGATGGAAAAGAACTCACTGTTCACAGTATACCTTTTAGTGCACTTCAAATTCTAAACTATGCATATGTATTACCTGTTCATAAAGTAATAATTTTAAAAAGCAAATGAATGGGCTGTAATCCCAGCACTTTGGGAGGCTGAGGCATATGGATCACCTGAGGTCAGGAGTTTGAGACCATCCTGGCCATCATAGTGAAACTCCATCTCTACTAAAAATGTAAAAACTCAGCTGGGTGTGGTGGTGCACAGCTGCAATCCCAGCTACTCAGGATGCTGAGCAGGAGAATTGCTTGAACCCGGGAGGCAGAGGTTGCAGTGAGCTGAGATTGCGCCACTGCACTCCAACCTAGGTGACTGAGTGAGATTCTGTCTCAAAAATAAGTAAATAAATATGAATGATATTAAACCCACAAAAAATAGAGGGCTTGTAAAAACAACCCCAAGTTAGTTCATTCCAAGTTTCCACCCTCTGACTTAGTCTCCTCTTGTCTGTGTAGTCATAGGAGCCTTGGAAGAAAACTACACAGGCCAAGCACGGTGGCTCACGCCTGTAATCCTAGCACATTGGGAGGCTGAGGCAGGCGGAGGTCAGGAGTTTGAGACTAGCCTGACCAGTATGATGAAACCCCGTCTCCACTAAAGATACAAAAAATTAGCTGGGCATGGTGGTGCGTGCCTGTATCCCAGTTACTCGAGAGGCTGAGGCAGGAGAATTGCTTGAACCTAGGAGGTAGAGGTTGCAATGACCTGAGATCCCGCCATTGCACTCCAGCCTAGGTGATGGGGCGAGACTCCGTCTCAGAAAAAAAAGAAAAAGAAAATAACTACTCAAATCTATTATGGATGCTTACATTCACTTCTGAACTTACAATCTTTATTTGTAACTACCAGAAACTTCTCCATCTAGAGGTTCCAGCCATGGACACCTCAAAGACATTATACACCAAACCCAAATTCTCCTCTTCCCTCCCTCTTTTCTTTCCTCTTCCCTCCCTTCCTGATCCTCCTCCAATATTCTCAGTCATTAATAGAAATGACTTCCCACTCAGCTTCTCAAACAAAACCTTTAGCCTTACCTTAGGAGCCCTCCCCTCATCTCACCCCTGCTGTAGTCACCGAATATTGTTACTTCCATCTCTATGGTGTTAAGAGGGCATCAAATAGGTGCCCTCTTGTACTATGTTACTGACCTCTTCTAGCTCCACGCCTTATGAACTATAATCCTTCATAGAATGTAGCTCCCCAGCTGGTTTTCCATGTTGCTCATTCTCAACAATTCCTCAGCCCTCAACCCCAGTCATTTTTCTCCAATACACTTACCCAATTATGCCTAAGAACCTTGGATAGCTCCCTGTTGCCTACAGAATTAAGTCCAAATGTCCTAGTTTGATAAATGGTCATTTATTATGTGACCTGAAGATACATTTCATCCCTAATACATAAACTGTACCCTGGCTATTCTGTTCTAACAAGCCTTGCTCATGTGTGCCTATTGGGTGTCTCCACAACTTTTCACTTGCTGTTTTTCCTGACTCAGAAAGCTTCCCCTTCCCTCCCCACCCAGCCTTGTCCAAAAATGAAATTTCTGCTCATCCTTCCAGGCCCTCACTCAGGTTATACGTTCTCTGAAAAGCCTTTCGGTACTGTGCCTTCCTCTGTGCTCTCCAGCACCTTTTACACACACTGATTACAACTCTAACCACACTATTTCCTAATTATTTATGTTTCTATCTCCACTGCCAGAATGTGTGCTGCTTTAAAAAAAAAAAAAAAAAAGGCTACGATATTTTATTTATCTCTGAATCCACTGCACTGCCCTGCTAGCATTCCACATAAATGTTTGCTGAATGAACTGACCGAAAGTACTTTGGTAAAAATGTTAACACATTATCCTCTGTGGCTAAAATCTCATTTCTTTGCCTCTCTCTCTCTCTGCATACCTATTGGCATGCTATCACAGGTCTCAGGAGGGCCAGTTATTCAAAGGGAACTAACAAAGTGCCTTCTATTTGTAAACAGAGCCATTTGTAAACCCTCTGGGCTAGATTTAGAGATTGCCTTTCTAACTCTGACAGTGCTCCTTTGAGTACTCACTCCACTGAAAGAAGCACTTCTTTACCAAATGTCTGGGGTCCTATAAGTAACCTTTGTTTACCCTGAAAACACTTTCAGGGAAGCTGAAAAAGCTTAAAAAAAATGTACTGACCCTACAGGGACCTACCTGGACAGTAAGCTTTATGCCAGCCTAGGAAAGGGAGGGGTGCTTCAGAGACTTGACTTATTCCTACACACTTCCACTGCCATCAGCTACTTAACTGCCTGAACCTCAAAAGCTTCTCTGCTCCCCAGTGAAGACCATGGCAACCCATTAACCACAAGCGCATTCAAGTAAAGCAGCATTGTAAGCATACCCTGAGTGGCCTGAAGAACAGTGGGGGGAAAGCAAGACACGCATTTTAATGGAGCCCAGGAAGGTAAACGAATCCCATAGCTCCAGCCTCAGGGTCTTTGCTTTTGCTGTCCTCTTGACCTGGAATTCTTCATCCCATCATATCCACATTCAAGTCTTTGCTCAAATGTTGCCTACCAAGAACCTGTCCTGACCCAATCCAAAAAAGCAGCGCCCAGGACTCTCCATCTCCTCCCCGCTCTCTATTTGTCTTCACAGCACTTATTAGCACTTCATGGTAGCACTTACACCTGACACCATATTCTCTATCTGTCTGTCTATATGCTAACCACTGTCTTCACCATTCACCTGGAAGGGCAGGAATGCTATCTCATTCCCAGATAATCCAAGCAAGTAGTTGTCTCCCAGTAAATGCTTGTTACATTCTTTAAAGAGCTCAAAGAAATACGATACAGGTCATTTCACACTCAGTGACTGTACAGTCCCATGTGCGATTAGGCCAAATGATTAACATGCGGGAGTTCCCAGCTTACTCCTGCTTCCTACCCATGACAGAGCAGTATAGCATCACCTCTTAGCTTCTCTCTCCCACTCCTAGCCTACACATTGTCCAGGAGAGAATGGATAAAAGGAAAACTGACAGAACCAGAGAAGAACCACAAACCTCATATATACCTGGAGGTGATGGGCAGGATTAGAGGAATGTTCAAGAAACTAAAATGGCAGGGAGAGCAAAGCACAGAGTTCGGGGTTTGGAGGTGATTAAAAAGATGAGAGAGGATTACTAATGAGTTGCTATGGTGTGTGCACATGAACCTCCTTCACATGAAAGAGGCCTCCTGACAAGAGAGGCACACATGTTCTGACCATGTGTTGACGTCTACTTTACACTTCTGTGCCTTCTCTTCCTCATCAGAAATGGAGATCTGGCCAAGCAGATGGCTCAGTGTTCGGATAAAGCTAGAGCAACCAGCCAGAGCTGGAATAACAGTGGCCCCAGTGGACCCAGCTGAGGAGTCTGATCCTTCAATTCGCCCTTTTTTCTTTAGGTGAATGATGTGACTCTCATTGGCTCAAAGAAATTAGTTTGGAGGTAAAACTAAATTAGTTTGGAGGGCCTAAGTCATTTTCAAGTAAAGTGATCATTGGCCACTTTATGGTGTGGTGGTCTCTGTCCAGCCTGGGCTTTAATGTAGATACTCACGGTTCTGGAGTGTAAAGGGGATCTGAGCCATGCCGGATGTACTGGGTACAGTGGAACACTCTGTAGGCCAGTCCCGCCAGAAAATCTCGTGGGCTCAGGTATCCAGCCACGGGTCTCACAGTGAAGCCAGACCTTTCTAAAAAGGCAACAGAAAAAGCCAACTAAATATTAACCCAGCAAGACTTGAAGGCCCAAGCAGGAGCTTCTACTATTTATAAGGAAGATCCAGAAAGAAAGTAATCAAGGTCATAAACCTCTTGACAACTGAATGATGTATACTGTTAGCAGCTATCATGTTTGGTGCTCCTGACGACTAAAATCACTTTCAAAGATGGTTTCCAGGGGAAGAAGACATTCAATAAAATGAAAAGAAGGGTGAAAAAAGTATTCAGAGATTTAAATTCAGAAGCCTAATTAGGATAAAAAATCTCAGATAAATCGATTACAATCTAAAGTGATGCTTAGGATGCATTACCTAGTATCTTTCTAAGAGACATACCGAGGGACCTCTTCTGTGTGCATGTGTTCAGTGACACACAGCTAAGGCACCCCTTTCACTAGCATCTTCTTGAACTCCCAACCTCCGGTGATCCACCCGCCTTGGCCTCCAAAGTGCTTGGATTACAGGCGTGAGCCACCACGCCCGGCCCACGATCACTAGCATCTTCAAATCAGTTCACACTGTGGCTTTCTATTGCCAATTCCTGCTAACTCCTTCATTCTATATTGTTATTTCTGTGATATTATATCAATTACCATGATTTGAAGAGGTACACCAAAACCCTACATGCTCTATTGGTTTATGGTAAGAGGAAACAATGTAAGAACACAATAAAGCCTATAAAACTGCCCGTACCACTAATTTAACTAGGTTGTGAGTCATCGGTGTTCTCAGTCTAAGGGCTACCTAATGTTTTCTTCTCAGGAAGGCCCAGAAAACTTACAACAGAAGGGATATTCTCTCTTTTTTTTGGAATGCACATTTTATCAAAATGTCATATAGAGTCGCACATTGCTTAATAATGAGAAAATCTTCTGGGAAATGCATTGTTAGGTGATTTTGTTGTTGTGTAAATCTCATACAGTGTACTTACACAAACCTAGATAATACAGACTACTCCTGGGCTACAAATTTGTACAACATATGACTGTACTAAATACTGTAGGCAATTATAAACCATTAGTAAGTATTTGTGTCTCTAAACATATCTAAACATAGAAAAGGTATGGTGAAATTATGGTATTATAATCTCATAAGATCACTGCTATGCATGTGGTCCATTGTTGACCTAAAAGTCTATATGTAGCACATGACTGTACTTTTAAGTGGCTGTTTTATGTTCTGTTCTCTTCTCACAAGAGCAGTTCTATTTTTTAATATAAGTTGTATATATTTAAAGTGTATAACTTGATGTTTTGATACACACATACAGTAAGTCCTCAACATTGTCAGTAGGTTCTTAGGTTCTCGGAAATTGTGACTTTAAGTGAGAAGACATAAAGCAGGTCCTAGAATAACATCATTTCCTTCAACGTTGTATTTTCATAATGTTGATGAGGGGAAAAATTTGTTTTGTTATACATTGTTTCACTTTAAGTCACAGTTTTCAAGAACCTATCCATGACGTTAACTGAGGACTTACTGTAATAGTGAAATGATTACTACATTCAAGTTCATTAACACATCTGTGTTCTCATATAGTTATGTGTGTGTGTGTGTGTGTGTGTGTATGTGTTAAGAGCACATAAAATTTACTATTGTAGCAAATTTCCCTTATGTAATATGGTATTATTAACTATAGTCTTCATGCTGTTCATTAAATCTCTAGATTACTAGGCACTGTGGCTCACACCTCTAATCACTGCACTTTAGAAGGCCAAGGTGGGTGGATAGTTTGAGGCCAGGAGTTCGAGACCAACATGGGCAACATGGCAAAACGTCATCTCTACTAAAAATAGAAAAATTAGCCAGCATGGCGGCATGAACCTGTAATCCCAGCTACCCGAGGACCACAGGTGAGGCATGAGAATTGCTATAGCCTTGGAGGTGGAGGTTGCAGTAAGCCAAGATTGCACCACTGCACTCCAGCCTGGGCAACAGAGTAAGACTCTAAGAAATAATAATGAATGAAAAAGATCTCTGGACTCATTCATCCTATCTAACTGCAACTTTGTACTTTTTGACCAATATCTCCCCACTTACTCCACCTCCTGCCCCTTGTAACCACTGTGTGTTTAACTTTTCCAAATTCCACATATAAGTGATATAATGCAGTATTTTCCTTTCTGTGTCTGGCTTATTTCACTTAGCATAATGTCCTGATGCCAGCATTGTAGAGGTTCCCACTCTGAAAACATCAACTCATTAGGAGACTGTGGCAGAATGGTTGAAAATGATCTTAAGAGGCAAGAACCAACTAAGCTTATAAAACAAGCCCAGCCTGGGATTTCTGGTACCTTCATGGAAATAACCTATTCTCAGGCCTCCTCAGACCCGTAATTCAAACAGCATTGTGTTCATTTCAAAAGCTTTCACTTTGGATTATTCCCTGGTGAATATCAAAAAGATAAGTATATTTTCTTCTTTTTCCATATTACATCAATTAAGCCAGTATATCCCACATGTGGGACATATGTAACAGTACACAGAGGAATTTTTTTTATTTTAATAGTTATGTATTTTATTTTTATGTGAATTAGAAAAAATATGAAAGCATGACATCAAGAACTTTGAATTTGTAGATACCATTGCTTTAAAAGTTTCTGTTTTAAATAAATTAGGTATTTAAAAGTGAGTCAATGTAATGATATAGGAACATCTACACTTACATCATACTGGCTACATGCCAGGGAGTGATACAAACTAGGCCATATATCCAGTTCACCAAGGGTTGTGGAAAACAACAATGAAAGAAATAGCTATGACTCTGCTATATTTAATATGTTTTAGGCACCTTAGGCCTTTAAGGTAAATCAGTTAATTTCTCCTCCCAACCACCTTGTGAGGTAGATGGAATTACTAACTCCCTTGAGAGAGGAGGAAACAGAGATACAGAAAGGTTAAGGTGATTCTTCTAAGGTCACCCAGCTAGAAGTGACAGAGTGGGTATTAAAGCCCTGATATTCTACACCCAAGATCTATGCTCTAAGCCCCTATACCATACTGCCTCTCATAAGAATATTAATTTGGGGCCGGGCACAGTGGCTCACACCTATAATCCCAGCACTTTTGGAGGCCAAGGCAGGCGGATCACCTGAGGTGAGGAGTTTAAGACCAGCCTGGCCAACATAAAGAAACCCCCTGTCTCTACTAAAAATACAAAAATTAGCCAGGTGCGTGGCGTATGCCTGTAATCCCAGCTACTTGAGAGGCTGAGGCAGGAGAGTGGCTTGAACTTGGAAGGTGGAGGTTGCAGTAAGCTGAGATCGCCTCATTGCTCTCTAGCCTAGGCAACAAGAGTGAAACTCCATCTCCAACAAAAAAAAAATACAGCATTAACTATGAAATAACATTCTAACTATCAGGGTTTGGGGAACAGCGTAGTAAAAAGCCATCCCCATATAAGGAGCTCATAGTAAAGAGGTAATATGCATATAGCTCTGTGGGAAACCAAGAGGAAATGATGGGAGAGTACAGTCTAGTGAAGCAACAACATAAGGCATGAGATAATTAGGTGCTAATTAAGTGATACTGATTGGTAGTTCTCAATCTCTTTTCCTCAGTAACTAATTTAGTAGATAATGTTCACACATAACACAGAATGAAATCAGAGTGGGAGAGGTCATGGTCGCTGCTATGATCGAGATCCATGGAGGAGGCAGGACTTGCTCTGAGTCCTGAAGAATAAGTAGAATTTGAGTAGGTGGAGAAGAGATGAAATTTTCTAGAAAAGAACAGAGTTTACTCTCTTTCTAGAGAGATAGTTTTCTCTCTTTATCTCTTTCTAGCAAAGACAAAGAGAGTCCACAGCAAGGTCAGAGGGTTTGTACAGGGCAGTTGCATCAGGAAACTTACTTGGAAACTTGGGTCAGGCCAGGTTGAGGCTGAACTGTTCAGACTTGAGCGTATAAAATAGAGATCAGCAAACTATCACCTGCAGGCCAAATCCAGCTCACTGCCTGTTTTTGTATACCCCATAAGTAAGAACAATTTTTTGTTTGTTTGTTTGTTTTGAGACAGAGTCTCACTCTGTCAACCAGGCTGGAGTGTAGTGGCACAATCTCAGCTCACTGCAACTTCTGCCTCCCAGGTTCAAGCGATTCTTGTGCCTCAGCCCCACAAGTAGCTGGGACTGCAGGCACCCACCACAATGCCCGGCTAATTTCTGTATTTTCAGTAGAGACAGGGTTTTGCCATGTTGGCCAGGCTAGTCTCGAACTCCTGACCTCTAGTGATCTGTCTGCCCTAGGCTCCCAAAGTACTGGGATTACAGGCATGAGCCACCGCACCCAGCCAGTTTTTATATTTTTTAATAGACACGTTTAAATGGCCATCAAAGTGCCTATATAATAGCCTTGATTTTGCCTCTTGGCCCAAAAAGCCTAAAATATTTACCATCTGGCCCTTTACAAAAAATGTTTGCCAGTCCCAGTGGAAACAAGAGGGAGTCAATGATAGTTTCTAAGCAGAGATGTCAGTAAAAAGGTAATGCTTTAGAAAGTATTGTTTATGGGCAGTGGGCAGGAAAGTTAAGGAAAGAAAATATAAGCATCAAGGTTACAAAATGATGAGGACCTCCATTTGGATGGTAGCAGTAGAACAGAAAGAAAGGGACAGATTTACCATGTGTCATAAAGCCATAAGTGGCAATAGCGGGAGACTGTGGTGAGCTAAATAATGGCTCCCCAAGAATGCCTACATTCTAATCCCCTGAATCTGTGAATATGTGACCTTACATGGCAAAACAGACTTTGCAGATGTTGTTAACTTAAGAATCTTGTGATGGAGAACCTGTCCTAGATTATTTGGGTGGGGCCAATATAATCATAAGAGCGCTTATAAGAGGGAGGAAGGAGGGTCAGAGTCAGAGAAGGAGATGTGACAATGAAAGCAAAATGTTGGAGTAATGCAAGGATGGGGCCACAAGCCAAGGAATGCAGAACTCTAGAAGCTGGAAAAGGCCAGGGCACAGAAGCCACCAGAAGGAATGAGCCCTGTAACACCTTGATTTTAGACTTCTGATCTCCAGAACTGTGAGATAACTCGTGTTGTTTTAAGTCACAAAGTTTGTGGTAATGTGTTATAGCTATTATTGGACACTAACACAAAGAAGGACTGATTATGGGCAGGGGTGGGGATAACGTGGGTAGGAATTCAGAGGAGTCCTTAAAGGCAAGCCTGATGAGTGTAGAGAAAAAATTACTGATAGAAACTGGGAAAACAAGCAAGAAAGCAAGTTCCAGGAAAGAAAGCAGGGAAAGAAGTTTTTGCTTTTGGAACTATTGCACTTGAAAGAAGAGAGAGAAAAGAGCAGAGAATTCAAGGACTTAAGCACAATGAAGAACAGAGGAAGAAATAGGACCACCATGAAACTTTGCCTTTTCCCCCAACCCCTCACAAGCCTATTTCCTAGCTATTGTTCCAAGGGGGTGTTGTCAGTGAAGAAACCCACAGACAGTGTGAAACGATGTCACTGTATGAGTCATAGGGTTCTCTAGTGTAACATTAGCAACAAGTACAGTCCCTGGCACGCAAATTATAATGTAAAGTATTGATCAATCGGTTGACTGATTGATTGACAAGTTGTGTCACCAGAAAGAGGTCCCGTTCCAGACCCCAAGAGAGGATTCTTGGATATTACACAAAGAATTCAAGGTGAATTCATAAAGTGAAAACAAGCTTATTAAGAAAGTAAAGGAATAAAAGAACACTCCATAGGCAGAGCTCTGGCACGGATCACTGGTTGCCCATTTTTATGGTTATTTCTTGATTATATGCTAAACAAGGAGTGGATTTTTCATGAGTTTTCTGGGAGAGTGGCGGGCAATTCCCAGAACTGAGGGTTCCTCCTCTTTTTAGACTATGTAGGGTAACTTCCCAACATTGCAATGACATCTGTAAACTGTCACGGCACTGATAGGAGTGTCTTTTAGCATACAAATGCCTTATGATTAGAGTATAATCAGCGGTGAGGCTGACCAGAGGTCACTCTCATCACCATCTTGGTTTTCATGGGTTTTGGCTGGCTTCTTGACTGCAGCCTGTTTTATCAACAAGGTCTTTATGACCTGTATCTTGTGCCAACTCCTGTCTCATCCTGCAACTCAGAATACCTTAACCTCTGGCAATGCAGCCCAGTAGGTCTCAGCCTGATTTTACCCAGCCCCTACTCAAGATGGAGTTGCTCTGGTTCAAATGCTTCTGACAGTAGCCTGATTTCCTCCAGGGGAAAGTCACTAATGTTCAACATTATCCATAAGATTTCATCATTCAGTACATAATTTTTAACAAAGCAAATAAAAAGGCACCTTTGGAAGTCATTTCATACCCAGGTAGCCCAGCATAGTAGCTCCTCGATCAGAAAAAGCTCAGAGCTGAACTTGCCAATGTCCTTTGGGCCTTTCCATTTATAGCAGCCAACCACAAAGAGGCCTCAGCAAGCCCCTGAGCTGCAAAAACAGCTGAGTCCATCTCCCCTGCCCAGGGACCCTGCTCTGCTTCCCACAGGTGGCCACAGGTAATTGTTGGCTCAAAGCCAGAAATTTTTTAAGTCACTATTTTTTTCTTTTTTGGAAACAGAGCCATTGCTGCAACCTGTGTCCTTGGAAGGCAACTGAGGATATTGACCAATAAGAGACAGTCTGTGTGAAATCTTACCTTTCAGAAACATGGAGACATCTTCAAGTTGAGGCACATTGTCCTCTCTGTAGCCACAGTATTTAGTCAGCAGAGGGAAGTTTTTCAAATACTCTCGGCAAGCATGAGTGGGATAGAGTTTGGAGAGCTCTCGGAATACAATGCCCCAAGTTTTAGTTTCTTCTTCAGTATACTCCACCCTGGGAATGGGCTGACCACTAGGCAGGAGAGAATAAAAATAAATGAATCTAGCTTTGAATCACTGAGTTAAGTATTTTCTCACCTTAATACCTATCGTTAAGTCAGACCCTGGCAAAGTGGAACACATGAGTGTCTGGAAGGATCCCATTAAGTCTTATTTTTTAAAGCAAATGCTAAACTTCTAATGTTGTGCATATGTATTTGAATTTCTATATAAATTATTTTGTAAATAAGTTATATCTTCATACATCCTTAGAGAAATGTGATAAGATTTATGTTCTTAAACTGAGAAGAGTAACAAGTAACAGTTCTGGGTTAGAAGGAACTGGTTAAGGTACAAAACTATTCTCTGGGAGCATTTTCTGCAAACACCTGACAACAGTAATAACAGTAATAAATAAACGTTTTGTCTCTTAAAAATCAAATTGCTTTGTGGGTTCTCTTTGTCCCTTGCCCAGACTCACCCCAATCTTCAAGTGTAATTTTGAGATTATTTGTTCAATGTCCAAAATGCCTGGGAGATACTGCAAGACTATGCTGAATTTAAAAGTGAGAGTTTTGCAAACCACAAAATACGGAGCATTCATTTGCAGGTCAGGCTGAAAGATATACACATTAAGCCCCCTCAGATGAGGTCAGCAAACTTTTTTTGTAAACGCCCAAAAAGTAAATATTTTAGGCTTGTGGGTCACACGGTCTCTGTCACAACTGTTCAATTCTGCCACTATATCTCAAAAGCAACCATACACAATAACAAATGGACGTAGGTGTATTCTGATAAAACTTCCTTTATTTGGCCCATAAACAGTAGTATGCTGATGACTAGCTTAGAATATTGAAACATGGTGCTGGACTGAAGTGGTCAGAGAGAGCTTCCTGGAGGAGGCACAACTTGAGCTGAGACTTTTTGGCCAGGTAGGACCTGCAGATTCCAACAAAAAGCAAGTGAGGAGAAACTGGTGCTCTAATGTAATAGCAGCCAGCAGCCACAAGCAAGGAACATACCTTGTGATGCAACTAGAGATGGGTAGAAAGAGAATACAAACGTGCTTTTGTAGGTTGTTGCCTGAGGGACCCGAATCTGAATTTAGCCTCTGATTAAGATGCCTATGCTGAAACTCAATTAGGGTTTGAGAAAATCTCTCATGACATACTTAACAGCCACGTGCAGCACGCCCTCACTTCCCACCCTGGCCATGCATCAGAAATTCTGCCTCTGCAATTAGCAAATATACATGTACAACATATGGAAGTCCAAACATATACACATAGAACTAGGAGTTGTGCCCCTGCAATCTACAAATCCAGCCTATAGCAGGTGGTCACCACAGGAACCCATGCAGAGATAGCAACTGTCACTCAGGGTTGCTGCAGCTGAGGTGGGGGGGCATCTTCAATGAGCTGGGATCATTCAGGAGCACCATGGAGGCAGAGAAAAATGAGATAGAGGACGATAACAAGAATATGCTATCAAACAGATCCCCTAGCTGCCTTCCTCCTCCCCAACCCTCTACATATTTCAGTGTTCTTGCCAAAATACTTTGTTTAAAGTTCAGGTTCAAACGGAGTTTCTCCTGCCCCCAAATTATTTTTGTTTAAAAAAATTAATTGCAGTACATGTGGGATGAGGGAATAACACATACTGAAGAAAAAAAAAACAGAAATTCTCATTTGCTTTCTCTAAATACCAAGACTAAGGCTTTCACAAACCAAATTAGAAAAAGATTAGCCTTGTTTAAATTTGGCTGTTGATAACAAATAAAAAATTACACCCTGGAAAATATTTGCTGGGAAGATCAAGACTTCTAAGGCCTCACACCTGTGACAAATTTGGAAAGAAAGCTTGAAATGAAAAGACAAAAATAGAAAAGATGTAAGGAAATAAGCGTATAAATGGTCTTCCTCTGGTTCCAGAAAACTCAACTAAATCGATTTGAGTTGGGGAAGCCAATAAAGCTAATAAGGGCTGTGCATGATCAGAAGGTAGGAAAGCAATGAGGCTGAGACAATAAAGGAAATATCAAGAAACCATTTGAGAAAAATGGTTAGGTCAACTTTTCCCTTCAATATTAATCTGCAAACATGCAGCATTTCAGAGGGGAACTGAATATTCAAAAGGCAGAAAGAGTTCAAGTGTGAATTAGGATAGGAAGAAAGAGTTACACAGGTCTGTTACTTAATAATGAACTTCCAGTGTTGCAGACTTGGGATATGGGTGGTCATGTATGTTGTCAACTGTTCTGTTTGTCTGTCCTGGATAACTTGGCCTGCTCTTTGAGTTAACAACTGGTGCAATGTACTGCTGCTACCTTAAACCCAAATTAAGTCTGCCTCCGGTTATATCAACAGATTTCTCATGATTTCTCACACCACTCTAACCCCACACCCCAGGTAGCTCTTCAAGGTAAATATTTAAAAATCAGTTTTATCACAAAGCAAATACTAGTTTTATCTACTTCATTTCTATTGAAAATATCCAAAATACAGAAAAAGTAATAAAGTTCCATTTTTCTATGTAGTTAACACAAGCATACAGTAACAGCTGATATTTGAGACTTTTCTACATGCCAGGCATATGCTTAAGGTTAAGTGTTTTCATATGAATTGACCCATTTGATTCTCACAATTTCATGAGGTAGGTACTATTACTATCTCCATTTTATGAATGAGGAAAGTAAGGCTCAGAGAAATTAAGCTACTTGTATAAAACCATGGATTCAGGCTTAAATCTAGTCAGACTAGCGAAAGACTGGCTGTAGTCTTAATGAATTACTATATACAAATTAAATTAAAAACTTTACTCCAGACTGATGGAGAAAAATTGATTTTTCACACCCCAACTTATTTTTCACATACCTATCTAAAATAAGGTTTATAGCTGTGTGTATTCATATGTAGAAAATTTCATATACAATTATATGTAACCATGATACTAGGATACATGTATAGATAACAAAGACTACTTTCATATTCATTCACTCATTTAAACTTCTCATAAGACTATGAGGTTTTGCCAGGCTCCCCAACAAGATAAACATGTGTTTGGGGCACCAGGTATGCAGGGCACTCACATTTTTTTAGAACTTTGAAATTTGACATTTGGGGGGGAAAATCATAGTCGTGGGGAAAATCAGAATGTGTTGTATTTCTTTAAATTTTTGTGAATCATGTATGAGAAGGGAGCCAGAGGGATGTCCTGGTCTTTTCAGAGCCTTTGACATACACTGGCATATCATTACGCATCTTTCTATGGGCACATGTTGTAATGTATATATAACAGAAGTCATATTCCAGCATCCTACAACTCTGCTCTGGTCCAAAACTAAAGTTATGTAAGGACTCCACATTCTAGAGAAATCCCCCTGCAGCTGAAGGCAACCATCTCTTTACAGGGCTTGGTGAGAGGCAGCACAAATGGCCCTACAACCAGCAAACTCCTCCTGTACCATCTGTACCATGCCCTCCCCAGACCTCATCCACCAGCCTTCTAGGGAATAAAAGATGCTCAGCATAGTGAGGAGGGCAGTGTTTGAGGAAAAGGGAAGTTTCTTTCCTCCTCTCTAAGTCAAGACAGCAGGGTGCTCCCTGATAGAGCACCTGAGAGAAGTGGAATAGGGCACTTTCTTTCCCAAATAGACCCTTACTGGGCAGCCGGATCCAGGCCCCCAAGTGCTGCCACCACTGCAGAGCAGGGGACCAACAGTCTTTGGGAGAGTATCTGGAGGCCTGAAGGACAATGTACCATGGGAAGCCTGGACATATGTCCTCTGAAATTTGAGGCTCATGTGAACATGAAGCCTAATGCCCAGCAAAATCTAGACATTTATGTGGGACCCAATGTGGTGTGTCTGTGAGAAAGATGGAAAAGTCCCAGGCCATCCAGTTCTGCTCAGTTCTCAGGAGGCAGAAGACACCACAGTGGTCCCGATCACCGCCATAAAGAAGCTCTGAGGGCTGCCCCAGCTATGGCATGTCACTGACAAGGCCAAGGGAAGCAGAGCACATTTCTGCAGCAGTGGTGATGAGGGAATGGTCTTCCCCAAGAAAACTATGCATAACACCATTTCAGCGGAGAACACTCTATCTGAAAAAGGATTTGTCAGAACCAGGGTGAGCATGGCCTGAGACCAACTCACCACTGACATTCTAGCAAGCATTTAAAAGGGCCTCAGCCTCCTCCCTCCCTCCTTGAAGCCTCCAACTCTAGAAGAACTAGGTCCTAGAGAAAAGAAGGAAAATGTCTCAGAACCAGAGAACCCCCCAAAACACACACACACAACCACACACATTCATCCAAATAACTGTGGGGGAGGGAGGATATACTTTGAATCATGTTTGACATTAATATTTTTTAAATTAACAAGACCAGGTCTTAAATACCCAAATGAGACTATACTAGTAATTGAAAATGACAGAAAATTAGATGTTGCTAAGGAACTTGCTTTCCAGCAGGAAAGTAGGATTCAACCCAATACAGTTGAAAGTAAAGAGTGGGAAAAATAAAACTATTTCATGTTGCTATAAACCCCTACAAGATCATATTCCTCAATAAACTAATTATATGTAAATATTATAATTAGATATCTAGAGAGTCTCCTTCATTTATATGGAATTAGTTGGGATTACAGCCTTCTCAATAACCACCAAAATTATAATCCACATGTTCTTAACTTGCTGGAAAAAAGACAAATGGGACTTTTAGTAGTTTACATTCCCTGCAGATTCTGCCCTCTTGTCAAATAATGGCAATCTAAGATTTTATAAGCATTGATACAGAACCAGTGTTCAGTGAGGACAGCACTAGAAAGAGGCTAAAATGGTCACCATGGGGATGTCGACTTGAAAATAGGGAAAACTCCCTGGTAGATTATGTTACTCAGAGATGACTAAGAACTTTCTTTGAAAATATTGAAGCCTGTAGGAGGTATCTATCTGCCTGTATGGTTAAACCCCACTCTTCCTAGAGACAGGGAGATGATTCTGAAAAACCAGCCTTGTGCCTGCAGAGAGGAGGGAG